TTACTTCCTACTATCTTGATTTTCATACAGTTCGTTCATTGGGTCGGTTTTTCATCCAGTTATTTTGATAACTATTAACTCTAAATCAAATGAAAAAACGCATCAACGACATGTACATGGGGTTGACAATACCTAATTGACAACTGAAGCGCAACAACTTAGTTATTAAAAAGTTTATGATCCACTTTTAAAAATCATTCATTTTAGGGTTTCCAGACAACGTTTAGCTATAGCCATTATCATTCGCTTGAATGCTTTAGACAAACAAATAGAGTTCTATTTACGTAGCTGACTTTTACATATTCTGAAGTGCTATTTCTCTGCTCTGAAGTTTTCATGTTATGTTATATTAATTTATGTTGAATAATTCATTGTCGTTTCAACTTCAGCCAGAGTTAATCAAAGGTCATCTGACAATTTTGCAGTTGATGGTCATCAGCATATAAATTAGTTATCTTTTTAATATGAAACATGTGACTTTTCTTACTAATTTATCTCTCGATTTCAGGACAAGCACTCTACACATAAAAAATAACTGTGAGTTTTTCTGTTGAGCGTTCTGCATGATTTGCTATGCAATCTCTGAATTAACGTTTTACCGTGTATATCACTTCTAATTTATAAACAAATACTACACTACTTGCACATTCTTTAGTTTCATACAGCTTTTACATTAAATTTCCTAAAAAGTTTTATATGAACCATTCAGTTTTTTTTTCAACCGAATTCACACATTACCTAACCATCATTTTTTAACGAAGTATATAACAGATTTAGTTCGTAGTTCAGAAACATATAACCAAAAAATTTTCAATTGTAATTCTCAGTTTAGAAGTTAAGCGCTGTAACAACAACTTTATCTTTACGTTTCACCTGACCTACTGTCTTAATGACCAAGTGTACATTATCATATTATCTAAGATATTCTAAATAACTGGTTACGTTTCAGAAAGTGATATATATATAGTTGGTGTTTTAGTACCATTTAAGTTTTTTGGACGAATTTGATACAAATTTTAATTCTATCCAATTTATTTGTTTTAATATTTATTTTCATGTACTGGAATAGTGATTAACGGTACTGCGTTTAAAAATCCCAATGATTTATTAATTACTCATTCCCTCTTCATAAAGTGTTATCTGAAATAAACAGAATATCAAAGATCTGATAGATACCATGAAGTATGATCTCGATTTGTATAGGACCCATGACAAATAAAATGGGAAATACAAATTTGTCTAAGCAAACACTATTTATTCATACTACGTACTCAAATTTATTACTCTCTGATATCAAAGTAGATTTTAATGCATCAGAAGGACTAGACTTTCGTTAACTTTTACATAGCACTATGTATCTATTCATTGTTGTACAGTCCTATCAATAATCTTTTTCAGTATCCCAAAATTAACGAATGCATTACAGCTTATGTTCATTTCTCTTTAATTGATTTTTTTTAGTAGAAAACCAATTAAGAAATAAATGAGTCCTCAAGAGAATCACTTATGAAGTAACTAGAAATACTAACGCCTGAACTTATTTAAAATCAATATTTGACGTTTTGAGAGATGTTATCAAATATCACTGAGTACTGAACATTTGGATTATATTGTTCAATATTTCATCAAAGGCACATACACTCAGCATCGAATCAGAAATTTGATCTTAAGTATATAAACTCAATTAGAATTGGATTGAATTGTAAACTGATGCATCATATTTTGGTATGTACTAATTACAATTAATGAGTTCTCTAGTAAACATTCTATTGATATTGGGTAAGATGACCAGAATAGCTATTTTCTATTCTAGTTACATGTTAAGAAATAACCCACGAGTTACCGGAGTTTCAAAGTCCTGATGTTGATATTTACTAGGAGGTTGTATAACACTCCATTGGAAGAAATATAATTTGATTTCCTTCAATATTATTAATAATAATTTTAAGCTTATTTTTGTTAAGTGGATTAGAAGAAATAATGTTTTCGAGTGTCTCCTTAAGAAATAAAAAATGAAAATCGGTATAGAAAAATGAAAAATCACACCCCTGATTATGATCAAAATTCAATTGGATTAACGCAAATAAGAACTTAAAAAGTCAACTAAACATTTTCGAGTGTTAAGACACCTACGGTGGTGTACATTAATATTGAATGGACTGGTTAATAGAGGGGAATAAGGGATAAAAATTGTGTTTTAGATCGGTGAAATTTTCCTACCCTATCCCACTTTCAGAAAAATAATATTTAATATTCAAAGAGAAACAGGAATCTAATAGATAATATTATACTTTCTCACCATACTCGTTTATAATTCATATCTTTTCACTACTTGAAAGTGTTACATCTTGTTTTAACGAAATAAATATTCAGTTAATCTTAGCTATCTACTTGACAAGTCGATGCACACAGTAACCTAATTCAACAAAATGTGTAATAATTGTCCTGATTAAAGTCACCATTGAAGTGAATACGAAAACAGTTGATAAGAAAGCTGTTACTGAGGCGTTTTATATATAACATAAAAGAAGTTTATTTTGAATAATGATTAATAACGTGAACATTGAGCTCGATTCACTTTGAATAGCAGTTAATAATGATACTATCAATCTGTTTAAACTTTATTCCAAAGAAACTGATCATGATTTACGAGTATATCATCAGCTGACATCCATTGATCAGTTTTATGCAAAGCTATGACAGTGTAATGATGGTTTGCATGAATGAGCCTATAATTCTTCGCAAACAAATGAAAGTTTTACAAACTACTGACAAGCCAGGTCAACTATTGTGAACTGGCACAATAGCAAGCTGACCAATAATTACGAACATCTAATAAATACCAGCAAAAATGGTTCTTACTGTTCATTTTTGCTATTTTACCGAATAATGGCAGGTTGTACTCATTCGAAGTAAGTAACCAGGTTTTTTAGAACAACATAGATTCTCTCTTATCTACCAAAACTAACCTGTTGACAGTTGTAAGTTCATTCAAATCAGTGTAAGATTATTGAGTATAATTTATCCTTTATAGATATATCAGTCTTTGTTTACACTGAATGTTACACATGTAATTTTATCAATTTAGCGCAACTGGTAGTTTAATGATGTGATAAGCTTCATCATCTCATTATCCAATCTAAACTTAATAAAAGAACCAATCGTTTTTAAGGAAAAAGCGTTCTGAAATCGACTGATATTTAGAATTATCATCAGAATGGGTTTTGTGGAGATTTAAAAAAATTTCACTGGTTGAAATCATGAGTCAATTGAAGCTAGACCACCATGGAAAATCTCCACAAAACCCATTCTGATAATAATAATCACCTGCTCACTAGTGACTGACTTCAGGAGATACTCTTGGAGTTCTAGTGAGAAGCCGTTACCAGTGGATTTCAACCAGGTCTATTGTGAGATAGGAACCCACTGAAGATAATGGCGTACGGTTGCTCAACTTTGTGGATTGGTTGAAGTTAGACATTAACACTGTTGGATGCCGGCTCAGTGGTCTAGTTGGATAAGCGCCTGGTGCGAGGCATAGATCCTGGGTTCGAATCTCGCAGGGTGCGAGATGGTGGATGGGCACTGCTGAGGGGTCCCATACTGGGATGAATCGGCCGTCCAGTGCTTCCAGGTTATCCATAGTAGTCTAGCTTCAATTTACTTATGATTTCAACCAGTGAAGTTTGGAAATATCATTAAATAGTTTGTTAATTTCCCGTCATATAAAAATTCCATTCAATATTCTTTTCAGAACCAGAAAGTTGTAAAGTGACTTGGATCAAAGTAAGACTAAAAAAATAGTAGATCATGGCATTTTGTTGTAAAGATGGTAGGATATTGTCAATATTTTCTCTGTCTTCTAATTTATAGACATTTCCTAACTATGGTATCGAAAGTTTATGCTTTAGATAATCAAAAGATATATGCACTTCATCGTTTTCAATTGTCGCAAGTATAAACATACTAAAACACTATAGAATCATAGTCACATAGATTGAATGCTATTTTATGTGACCATGAAATGAACAGTTGATTTGAAGTACACAAAAGGCTTATACCTGAAATGACAAATTATCAAACCCAGTACTTAGGATATCTTTCATGTGGTTATTTTACAAGTAACCAACAATGTGTATATTATTTTACAACTTCAATTTCTATTAACATTATGGATAAAATGCATCTATAAGTTAACCTGATTGTCAGTCAGCTGCGATTTTCAATATACTATCACAACCAATGCACTTTTAAGTGTTTCATTTATGTTAAGTAATGGTGTTAAAACAGAACAAACTTTTGGTAACATCCTGTTAATCCAGATTTTGTATCAATATATACTCATTACCAAGATTTACGTGTAATCTGCAATGAGCCAGTACTGACTTAAATACTGAAATCTATGTTATTCATCGCAGCTATTATTTTATTGATGACCTAAAACAACATTCGTTTTCTCATCCAATTTGGGACACAAACCGTTGAGTGCTTTGAAAATCAGACTAAATTATGATGTCGAACTCCATATCCTATCTATATTTCTTTGAGTAATTCTAGTCCATTATAAAATTGTTCTTCTTTAGCCAATAATTAAGGAACTCATTTCCTAATAATTACTTAGTTACTTACGCCCGTTACTCCTAATCGATCATAGGCCACCGACAAGCATTCTCCAAACCACTCTGTCATGGGCCTTCCTTTCTAGTTCTATTCTATTTTTGTTCATTCTTCTCATATCTGTCTTCATTTCTCAGTCTAATGATTAACCTTATAAAAATTTAAAATTTGCTAACAAGAGCTATAATGATTCTTTCGATTTACATAAGATCAACTAGTGTCTTTTGGTCAGTAATTATACATAAAAAGAAGTATTCTGTATTTATTATTAGAAAATAATGAACAGGAAGGTGATGGAAGAAATCAATAAAATTAGGAATAAACACAACAGTATTCGAATAATATACTCTGCTATAAACAAATTTATAAACAAATCTTTGAGTGTTCATTTATGTAAATGCTCTATCAATGTAAATGAGAATGAACTCCAGTTAGAAAGTTATCTGAAACATTAACATGAAACAGTTTGGACTGTACACAAGTGTTATTTTATAACATTGATGAAATAAATAAAGATAGTTCTATTATACATAAGAAGTAATGAAATAAAATCAAAGTATTTATAAGATTACATAAAATAAGATTGATGCATTGAATACAATTTATTGATTGATGTATCAAATGTTGATGAACCGTTGGTAGTACTGTTGTTTTCGACACTATTGTTATTATTATTATTATTGTGAATATTGTCATTATTATTATTATCATTTATCACAAGACCAGATGAAGTAATCGGAGTGAATGCTACTTCAGATAATAATGTACTTGATTTCGAATTGGTACAAACTGGATTTAAACAAGGAAATAATTCATGTGTTGAAAATGTTAATGACGAGTTTTCCATAGCCTTACTAGTTGTTGAAATATATGAGATATTTGCAGGATATGGATTTTCTATTTGATTCGCTTGTGGTATATGAATGAATGGTGGTGAACAGGAATTGGCTAAAGAAATCATTCTTTTTCTGAGAATTTCATCTGGATCATTTTCATTTATTGGTTCATTTTGAAGTGATGTTATATCTTGACAATTATCAACTGTTTTATATAAGTAGGCTAAATTAAAATAATAAAAGAATCAACTCATTTCAGTTTTGTTTAAGTTTGTAAATGAAAACCATAAATAAAAGTTAGCAATACTAACAAAAACAAATTTAGATATTAGTTAATTGCAATAGATGTGTAAAGATAACTAGACATCGTACTAGTCGACACTCGTCACCCAAGTGTATATTCAGTAATGAATCATTTAAACTAGTGACGACGTTACAATTTGATCGACTGAAATTGAAAACTAGATAATCCGATATTGATTCCTACTGATCAATCAGTTGATATTCAAAAAAGTAAATTTCAGAAGTTTACTTTAATAGAAGAAGTAATGCTTCTTTTTTACGCACGAAATTTGAAATTTGAAATGTAAAACTTGTTCTATTCACAAATTAGTATCTTCTGTTCAGATAAACTACAATTTCTTAACCTGTACTGTTAAGTCACTTTATGAGTAACACTTATCCAACAAAAAAGTACACATTTTCTAAGCACATATCATAATGAAATAACGTGTTATAGTATTTAACTGATTGAAGTTATCCTATCTATGAATAACAGGAAATATAAAAACAAGATTTTGTCACAGAATCATAAATCATACAATAGAATTGAATTATCAATATCCAATGATAAATTAATGAATATAGGCGTGGTGGATGAATCGATTTTCAGCCATATAAATTACTGTTTTGACTTATTAATATTACTAAATAAATGTCTGCAGATAGTGATATCCAGATAATAGAACACTAGACGATAAAAAGTGATACTGAATTAATAAGGTCTAATTCCTATCAATAACTGTTAGCGGTTTCAGACATAAACACCGAACAAATATGAATTTAAATGAAGATTCCATAGTCAGAATGTTACAGTTATATTATTATTTATTTTATTTGAACACAGATATTGGTACAAGGGGGCACCAGATACATATGCGCCATACTAATCCCATTTGATTCGTGAGAGAACTGTGATACTGCCCGGATGCCCAAACTGAAGCAGGTGGTTATCTTAGGGAGCCACATTCAAAGCCTTTGACCTAACGGTCTGATCCACAAGGCAGCGGAGCATCGTAAAGAGATGTAGTCCCATGGTGAGTAGGACTTCCGTGGCAGAGGCTACATACGCGTGGTCATGTGAGAGCATTTCGAGAGGAAGAGCGAACTCTTCCCACTCTCAGCTATACCAGGGCATAAGAGCATTTGTTAACAATTTAAAGTTATATGTTTACAAAATAATCTAACAAAACTTATAGTTGTTATATTGAAAAAACATTGGATGGATATTTTCATTAATGATATAACAAATATGAATAATATTTTTAAGAGAGGATTGTTTATTCAACATGTATTATTATCTGAGAAAGTTGATTGACTACAGCATTATATACAAATAATAACAATAATATTACAATAATAACCTTTCATTTATTGTTTAAATTTAAGCAGATGTAGAACATGATGTTAATTATTCATAATGGTAATTAATTGGTCCAACATTATATATATATATATATATATATGAGAAAGGATAAGAACTCTTTGGAATCTTTCAAAATTGATCAGCAAAATTATACATAAATGCCAATCAAAGTTCATTTCAATAGTTTAGTTGAACACAGCTGTATGAATAAATTAAATATTTAGATCTGGTTAAATTTTTAATCATTCGAATAAGTTGAATCTATATTGTTGTTAACTAATCTACTTTTGATAGACAATGTTTATGAAGTTTGTGTCGTTTTGTTTTATAAATAACAGGAAAAATGAGAAAGAGAGGTAAAAAGTTAATAGATACTTTATGAAAGAGAATGAAAAATATCTTCGTAATTTGAAAACACTATTCTACTGATAAGAATAAGCGGTAAGATGTAGAATGATTGAGCAATTCAAAATTATAAACTATAATTATTAAGGAATGATTTGAATAGCGATTGTTCCTTAAAGAATCATTGTAGCATACCACCTTGACAGTGATTGAACACAAGTATTGAACAACTTGTTTCATGTTACAAATAGGCTTAAAAATTGAAACTTATGAATAGTTTCGATATCATCATTCAAAGGAATAAATCAACCACAAAAGTGTAAAATTAAGTAATTTTAGTGCAGTTCAAACATTCTACTTCTTTCCAATCAAATTGTAATATTAGACTTAAGTTTACATTAACTTACGTATATCTGATATTGTAGGATTTCTTAGATTAAATAACATAGAGTTTGGTGATTGAATTCTAATCATTGGTTCATTATTAATCATGGGATTGTTAATTAACATTCTACGATTTGATTGTTGTCGAGATTCTTGTGCATGTCGACGAGCTAATTTTTTAATCTAAAAGTAATAATAAATATATCAATGTAAATATTGTTATCTTTAATAAAATATCAAAATCTATCAAACATTTAGATTAGTTTAGAGAAGAAAAAGAAGCCTTCACAATTGATTGATCACTGGATGGTGATCAATGTCATGTGTGTCAAGTCCTTAGGTGACTCGACACTGCGTGCACTATATATTGAGATCAGATGGTAGTTGGAGGTAGTCAACAGGAAACTTTGAACCCGGGTTTCGTGCTACGTGGCACTCGTCAGAACTAAATAAGGTCTTGACACACATGACATTGATCACCACTCTGTGATCAATCAATTGTGTTTAAGTCTCAGTCCTACAGGAGGTCGGTCGTGGCCCGGATAGCCCAGTGGTAACGTCTCTGACTGCGAAGTTGGGTAACACGGGATCAAATCCTCCAGGGAGCACCAGCTCCCTCAAGATTACTGGTACAACTTGCTGACGAGTGCCAAATAGCACGACACCCAGGTTCAGGGTTTCCTGTCGACTACCTCCAACCACCATCTAATCTCAAAAAGAAACCTTATTTGTTGACATTATATGTGAAAATTATATTTGAAATATTCTCAACGTGTGGAATTTAAGTGATTTCAACGTTTCGTCCATCTAACTTGTCTGGACTTCTTCAGAGTAATAATCAAAATCAAAGTCATCAAAGAAATACATAGTTTCTTAACAATCAAATCTATACTGTTAACTCATTTGTTGACATCATTATATAAAAATTAAGATAATCTTGAATTTACCCTGGTAATCTTTTAGTCATTCTATGATCTAAGATAACGCAAAAATTTCTTATTCTTTCTATATGATGTAAAACTGTTACTCTCCTCTTTGTTACCTTTTTTACTTGAATTTTCATTTAATTGGCCTTTATTAATTTTCATATAATAAATGCTCTGACATGTATATGTGTGACCAAATTGTTCGAAATGTATAGAGCAAATACATCACATTTTTTAGATCAACTTCATCTTCTCATTGTTCTATCAAAATTTATAAAAGGAACTAATTGCTTTAAGATGAATTGGTTGGAAAGTATTTAAAGTTTGTGAAACCCTGAAATAAATAAAGTTATTTAAAGGAAATAATTTTGTAATTTCCTTAGTAATCAGTGATTAGATGATCACTGAATTGACTGATTAGGTTGTATGGCTGATGAGTAATTTGTTGTTAATTCTGTGAAATTCTGTATAGAAATCGGTAACAGCTTTCTGTGAAGTTGAAATTAACAAATCAATCCATCTTTGGTTAAATTCAATTAATATTGTAGTAGAATATTCGGTAATCTACGATTTGAAGAGTGTGTGTTGCAAAACAGGGAACTACAGTTATCCTCATGAAACATATTGACAAAACTCAGTAGCCAAGTGGATAACGCAATGGCATTTGAAATGAACGGTACTGGGTTCGAGTCCCGGAGTGAACATCAACTCACGAAGGTACATCCAGGTGATAAGTCCCGAATAGTACGAAACGCGCGTCCTGGATTCCACTGCTAGCCACTATCCATCTTTGCTTATATTGATTGTTTACAATTTATTTTCTATTTTGTACGTCGAGTGTGAATCAGTCAGTCAACTTAGTGGATATCATTATTATAAGTTAACACTTTTCTGCGACTCAAAATAAACCAAATTTACCTTAAAGATAAATGTTTTTGTAAGCCTGACATTAGATTTTGAGTACGCTTTACAAAAATGGGTCTTTTTATATAAAGAATGGGTTATAATTAGGGTGATTAGCATTTGTTTTTGAAGCGAAATGGTTGCCCACTACTCATTATTAATCATGAATCTTGTTGCTCCTAGGGTTTTTCTTCCAGTCAGCCAAATTACAAATAAAGAACATGATAACAAAGTGGAAATATTAAACCTTAAAATGTTTATAGACAAGCGATTTGTGTGATTTTTAAAGGCAGTAGATAAACATTGAAATGATTAAGTTTATATCATATTCTGATAATATTCATGACCCTCCATTGATTCTATCTTATTAGCAGTCTATCTCTAGTTTGCCTACGGACTAAATATTTGTTTTCGATACTAAGTGTCCTATTCTAAATTAATAATACTACAAGGATCAATTAACCTATCAAACTGAGTGGTTGTTGCATATGCAAATTTCCGTTTGTATTCTTGATACTTTCAGTGGTAATGCCGAATAAATAGTGCCTATGTTAGGAATATTGTATTTTATTATGTTGTTCTCAAATGGTACTCAATGACATACAGAATACTTCATTTTGTTTTTACCGTTTTAATCAAATCGACCAATAGTTCACTTTTGAATCTTTTACAAATGAATACTATGAATGTATAGGTATTGATTACAAAGTAATCACAGTGACACTTTACTCAGTGTTCTAAATCCCAAAGTAGCTTAGACAAGTAATTTTTGTTTATATTGACTATTTTAGTTACCTTTAGTTAATTAACTACTTTGAGAGTAACTCTAATTCAGCGAATGCACTATCTACACTTTTAACTGAAAGACTGATCTTTTGATCACCCATCAAGTTTGTGTCTAACTCAATAGATCAAACAAAAATCTCTGGTCAGCTAATTTGAATAAGACTATATATTAGATATTCACTGAAATTTATTACACTATTCTACAACAAACTGTTAATTTATCAATGAAATACACAATAGCGACTTCAAACAAATGTCAGTTATTGCCAAAATAATTCAATTTGTCACCTATAACTTTTGAAAGAGAGAAATTCAATGAAAAGTTTTCTACTTAATTATTATTAAACCTATGCTTGATTATTAAATACTGTCGGTGATGGTTGATATTTGTCACCTTAACCAAACTGTAAAGTACATTCATTTACAGTTATGTGAGTGAAAGAACTCCATGAAAGAGTCCATAACATTTTGTTAACAAACCTTGTAAAAATGGAGGAAAATTCTTCAAAATAAATGTGATATAACAAGTTACCAAGGAAACATAACTGTTGTAGTGAACTTATTCAAGGTTAATATGCTTCATTATGATTAATTTACAAAGCTAGTTAGCAGTGACTTTCAAACTTTCGAAGTTCTTAATAAGAAAGTTTAAAGATCTGTACATACCGCTAGCCAGTAGTTGACAACTTCAAAAATTCTTTTCTTTTTCATTAATTGATATGAACAGCGTTTTTCCAACCTTATTCAACTTTATCCAACGTACTATATAGATCCAACTAGTAGATAGAACACTTAGCTAATGGCACAGAAAATTTGATTAGTTTGTGTGCTCGTTCTCATTTAGTGATTCAGATGTCTTACACACGGTTCATTATAAAGTATTTATCCAAACATAAGTCCATAACATTCCTTTTTAGACTAAATATCTGGTTTTCAGGTTATATATTTCTATTCAAAAAGACATAATTCCTTTCAGACAGAAATAATTAATGAATATCATTGAATATTATCATAAATAACAGAAATAACCACCTTTGCACGCTGATTTTGAAACCACACTTGTACTACACGAATATTTAGACCAGTTTCTGTTGCCAAAGCTTCACGTATCTAAATTATTCAACGAATTATTTGTAAAAAGAAAAAAAGAATTTTGAATGCCTTTTCTAATGATAGACAACATGTAAAGCAGATATAAGTTATTCAACCTTCATATAAAGATGTATGTATAGTTTTATGTCTGGCGTTTTCTGTGCACTATTCAAATAAATTCTTATGTATATCATCATAAAGTCTGAGATTTTCTCTAAAACAGATCTGTATCAACTAATAGACCAAGGTATTATATTCAAACAGTTCGTTATATGAATCATATATTTCATATTACTTTCCCTGAATTTAGCTATCTGAGGCGTATCAACAGTACATCAAAGTGAGATAAAACATTTGAATACTACAATATTCACAAATAACAATTAGGTTTTCTACAACTTAATACTCTCTCCACTATATCTTCGATGGTGAATTTTTTATCCTTAGGCTAGTTAATTGGTTATAGGATAAATGTACCCATAAGTTAATCATGGTACTTGATCATTCTACGCTTCTGGAAATAAATCACTTCATTTTGAAGTTTAATTTGATTAGATATTATAATCGATTGCTAAGTAAATCACTATGAAGTGAAAACTCAATAGATACAGAATGATGATATGTTGTTCCTAAATAATAAATAAAAAAATTAATATGAATATCCATCACTGATTAAATGAATTGTTTGATGAAAACTGGGTGCTGAATATACCGAAGATACTGAATGTGAAAAATATATTCAAGAGTCTTAGCGATTGAAATTAAAGTAAGTTCAACGTTTCATCCATCAACCCTATCCTGACTTCTTTAAGGTAATAATCAAAATCACGGTTGTTAGAGGTAAGAATATTTCAAACATAAATTTCACATTCAATGTTTTTACTAAGATTATATCAGTTTCATAGAAGGAAATGTCAGTCCAAATTAAAACTTTTAAAAAAAGTGTGGGTTACATGTTGGCTTCTCGACTATTTTGGTTAAAGTTTAACAGCTAAATGATTATGAGTCGAAAACAAAGACATAAGGTCAATTAGTTTCTTTACAAAATAACAGTAAAATGACTTAAAATAAATGATACTCGTGCTAATTACAAATACTAATTTAGCTAACGAGTTAGTTTACCTTACGTGTTGGTTTTGGATTGAATTCAAATACAGCTTTGAATCTACGACGTTGATTAGCTGTCAAGATTGTACGTGGTCTTTTAGAATTTTTCCCAGATTCAGAATCACTATCCATTTCATACAGTTCATCATCATCCATCCTGTCTCCATCTAAATATTCAAAAATATATGCAAATAATTAACTATATTATTCTGTAAATTTGTATATAAATTTATATAAGATTTACATTCAGAAACTATTGAAGACATGAACTAATAATTACAGCTTTACGAAATAAGCTAAGTGAACGAGTATTCGGTTAGTAACAATAATTATATGAAACTACTCTAAATATCTCTAGAAATTTACCATTTACCATTAACTATGCTTGATGTTGAATCATATTGTCTTGTAAACTATAATAAGAATTAAATCTGTGCAGTAATCTTCACGATTCCCTTTACTTAACATTTGTTTTTGTTGCTTAATCGTCATATTATCAACCGAATCAGTAAAAGCTTGTTAATAATGATGTTAGTTACATATCGATGATCAACTAACGTACATACATCAAACTTATCCTTAAGAAATTCATTATGGCTTGTTTTTAGCTATGATACTGAATGAGTAATATTATAGTCATTGTAAAAACATCAGTTCTTGTTGTACTTTTGACTAAAGTTATTTATGATTCAAAATAATCAAGTAATCCATATCAAATAAGAAAGATTAGCTCGGCGAATTAGCCGAAAAGAGAACTCTTCGCCGGACTAATCTTTCTTATTTAATGTCTAAATGAGTGTATTCCGTTTACTAAAATACTAATCCATATCACACAATTGTTATCATTTATATAATGGAAATAATATTTACATTTCTAGTATTTGATAGAAGGAACAAAAAAAAGTGTCGTTCATCATCGTAATGATATACAAATAAATTCACAATTACTCAACACATTGAATGCATCGTTAGTTGTGAATAACTTCCAAAATGAATATAGTAAGTGTTTAACTTGTGATATAAATCATTATGTATATTATTAAAGCCAATACCGAATGAGTTAACATAGTCGATTGTATATTTACTCTGAAGAATTGAATAAATCCTGTAAGATTTGAAAGCATCTAGAAAATGTTGATACATCACAAATTGTTTTAACTGTTGATAAGCATTGAAAAATGTTCGGTATTAGTAATATTTTATGTACATGTAAACGATGAAAACCTAATTCCAGTTAATGATAAACAACTACTAGTACTTACCTTGATAACATCATTAGTAGTTGTGATATCAAGTTTAATTATCTTAGATCTTTCACGAAATACAAAAGTAACTAAATAGCTTATGCATTTCTGATCTTTTTTTAAATAGCATACTAACCAAGTAGAAAGAAAAGAATTTTCAGCGACAAACAGTGATATGTTATAAAGGTTTTTAAAATTTCTAGTGAATTAATCCTGTCCGATTTCTTTTTGAATTAATAAGTGGACTAATTCTATCAGCAACAACCTATTGTGGGAGAAAACAAAGCAGATTCCAGTGGAGGAAGAACACAGGAAGAAGAGCTGGAAGCGGATAGGACACACATTGAGGATATCATCGAACTGCGTCACAAGACAAGCCCTCACATGGAATCCTCAAGGCCGAAATAGAAGTGTAAGATCAAAGAACAGGTTACTCCGAGAAACGGAGATAGACATGACAATAATGAACAAGAATTGGATAGAACTACAAATGAAGGCCAATGACAGAGTGAGTTGGAGAATGCTGGTCGGCGACCTGTGTTCGATTGCGAGTAACAGGCGTAAGTAAGTAAGAAAAAGTGAACTAATTGTTATGGAGTTAACAATGTTGCAACTTCATAATGTTTATTAGTCATCAACATTTACTCCATTCATAATAACAGTGATGTGATGTTGTTTACGACTTCAATTAACCCTAATATAACAATTCTCCCAATTAAAATGAGCTCACTAAGAATTCGAATGATTACTATAGTATTAAGAAACAACATTCATACTTTAAATTTAGATATTTTTAAATATCTGTGCATTAAATATATATTAAAACAAAATCTTACCTTTACTTGACTCATCGCTTGAATTCGGTGCAGATATATTGATATCTGATAAAAGAACTGAATCATTCAATAAACTTGTATCAATAGTACTACTAGTTGACTTATCATAATTTCCAATCTCTGATTTTATATCAATGGTCATCAATCGATTAGATTCTTTACAATTCAAATCTGTATCATTTGATTCTTCATTAGAATATCTTTCTTGTTGTTCATTCATTCTGTTATCTTCATTATTTGTATCATTAGAATAATTATCATTCATGTCTTGTGTACACTTCTCATATTGTATTGATTGTCTAAAAGATTCTTGTAATCTTGTACAAATATTTTGTGATTCTTTATCAAGTAAATATTTCTCATAATCCATTATACATAATGGCATACCATTTTTTATTGTATACTCTTCTCCAGGAGTTAATAAACGATTACAATCACAACATTTAAAACAATCTACATGAAAATAATGAATTAAAACAGATAAATCAAATGAATCTTTTGTAGTGTCAGCTTCATCATTTGCAAGATTTAATTCATATTTATTTGGTGTTGATATATTAATCTTAGTTGTATTGGTAGAGGTAACAATAGATGACTGGAATTCAAGTATGTTCTGTTTTTCAATGAAATCATTTTGTATTGATGTTGACTTGATACTTTTATATGTGTATAATCTTAGGACAGAATCATCTGATTGAATTAATTGATTGCAACCTTTACAACGAACTCCGAATTGCCTATTAAAGTGAAAATAAATAGTTAAGATAATGAAATATATAAAGTACGTATATTAAAATGAGATAAGAGATAAGGTCTAATGCCATAGAAGTTTATTATTTAATTAATTACAAAACACTGTGTTATAAGTTTCGTAAGGAATCAATCAATTACGCACAATTTGGCGTCATTTAGTCATGGAAATGATTCTTTCTTATAGAACTCAATCATCAAAAATTATCAATCTATAGTCAATGTATGAAATGTTCAACGTCACTTTCAAGACGCCTATTTTGATACTTTCAAGAACCGACTAATGATGAATGTATATCTATGTTTTCTTTTGACAATCACACACAGACATTTTGAATGTATGTACCAAGCCATCAAATCTAATACAGGGATCCAAATTAACATCTGACAAATGAGAGATATATAGACTACATAAAATATGATATCAAGTTGTTATTAGTTAATGCAGCTGACATACATTTAAACTTATTTCCATGAGAACGAATTATTATTAGGTTGAAAATTAAAGCACCCAAATTTATCGGAAACAACATATTCACAATATACACTATAATGTTCTGTATAATAATGATCGATAAATATAAAACAATGGTTAGACAATTACATTGTTTCAGATTGACTTCTTTGAAGTACTTCCATATTTCTGTTAAGAAATGCTGAATATGGAATAAGGAACCAAACTGATATTGGAAAAGCAAACATATTTTTAAAGTAAATAATAACCAATCATATTAAACCAAAGAAAATTTTACAGATGATATATCTATATAAGATACCTGATATTATACATAATTAAGCATCTATTGTGTTCAAAACTTGTTAAGTTATCTATATATTTAGATAAATATGAAAAGAATAAAAAGGCTCAGTTAACTGACCATCAGAATATACCTTTGAATATTCTATTATTTACATTCTGTTTAATTACCTAATCATCTAATAGAATGTATTTATCTTTTTGTGTGTTATTAGTGTACGTTGATAAATTTTGTCAAAGTAGTATAGTTCTATTCATGCCATAAACTATTCTATAAAACCTACATTGACATAAGTTTCTTATCAAGAAAATCTGATATTCTTTTTTGTTTTATAAAAATAATTAAGATTTAAAGACAGTACATGATTGTAAGTTCCCTAACTGGTATTTCAATGTTGAAAGTATATACTTTTAAGAAGAATTAAGATAAACATGAATTGTTGTAAAGTAAACATACAAAATATGAGTTGATTCAAGAGAAGCAAATATTAAACACTCATACTTTAGAATACAACACATACATCCCGAGTTCGAATTTCCTGAGGCGGAATCATGGATGCGCACTGGTGAGGAGCCCCATACTTGAACAAAACGGCCGTTCAGTGTTTCCAGTTTTTCCATGATGGTCTGGTATTAACTGATTCATGATCTCAACCACTGAAACTACTATGATATCCACAAAAAACCCTTCTGACATATCGAATACTTTTATACTATCATATTAGGTTGTGTAATACCAAAGCACTACAATCAATGATTACACTCATTTCATGAAAATTATTCAAGCCATCTACACAACCTTAATGTCATTCAAATAATGAAAATCTCTATTTCGATATTTGATAATTAATGAAGGAATGAATTGAACAATCAAAATTTCTTCGTTCAATTCGTTCCTTCTATAATTCAAATAAACAGTGAACAAATTCACGAATTAATTCCCTTAATAGAATTAAACTGTCATTATCGATAATGAAAAAAACAAGTCATAGAAAATATCAGAAGGCGTTTTGTGGAGATTTTAGTGATTTCAATAGTTGAGATCATGAGTTAATTGAAACTAGACCACCATGGAAAACCTGGAAGCACTGGTCGACCCTTTCGTCCCATTGTGGGACTCTGCAGCAATGCGCATCCACCATCCCGCCTCTCGAAATTCGAACCCAGGGCCTATCAGTCTCGCGCTATGAGCTTAACCAACTAGACCACTGAGCCGGCGTCCAACAGTGTTAATGTCTAACTTCAACCAATTCACGAAGTTGCGCCACCGTACACCATTGTCTTTAATGAGTTGATATCTCACAACAGACCTGGTTGAACTCCACTGGTCATGACTTCGCACTAGAACTCCAGGAAGGTCCTGGGTTCGAATCTCGCGGAGATTGAGATCGTGGATGTGCACTGCTGGGAGTCTCATAGAAAGCAATCAACTTTTTATGAAATAAAAGTCAATATGATACATATATATATGTTAATTACAGTTACATAATATAATGAAAATATCTACTTACTTAATATAATCACTTCGACAATATAATTTTTGATTACGTACTAAACATTTATTATGTAATAAACAATGACATATTGAACATGTAACACATTGTTCATGCCATATATTTTGATCAATACATAATAAATATGGATCCCAAATTGGTTGTTGACATCCAGTACACAATAATGGTATAATATTAATCATGATTATTATTATTATTTTTATTTGTTTCAAAGATACAATCTACTATTTATTTATTAAATTTTACTCAAGATTTATGAACTCAATTTATTATTATTATTATCAGAGTCAATAGAATTCAATAGATGATAATTATAATAAGAGAGAGAAGGAAAAAAATAATTTCGTTTACGCTTATTTAAATGCGCATCCCTATTCATGAACCAATCAAAAGTCAGTAAAAAAATAATAATCTATTAAATTATTCCCAATATCTAACTTCATAGAGATTGGTATTTCTCTCATTCATTACTCAGACAATCTACTCTAAATGTGAGACAATAAATATTAGTCTGATAGTAAAATTGTAATAAAGGGGGATTGACAGAGAAAAACAAACCCTAGTTTAGATGAATATAATATATACCAATAAAAATTTAGTTGATTAATTAGATTGAAAGTTAACAATTCTATCTCATCCCTTAAGTGTTATTTAAAATCAACCATCTTTCTCATCTAATATCTATAAAGTTATAAAATTAATTTCACTAGAAACAAACATACAAACAAACAAATAAAACACAAAACAATAACAATCTACTCATCACTATACAATGACAGGGGGTGTCCATTTATCCATATTTATTTATTTATTGGATTTATTCAATACACTTAGAATAAATGATAAGATCAAAAAATTATAATTTTAATTAAGAATGTTCATTTGCTGTTTTTTTTATTTCTCCTTTTTTTTCTCTTTTTTTTGTCAAATGTATCCATTGAATAATTGAATCATGAAAACAATACAGCTAAATATGAAGAAAAAAACGCTGTGATGTTTTTGTCTGCACGATAAACATGATTGAAAACTAACTAAATACATCAAAATGAAGAGAGAAAAAGGGAAAAAAGCAAAACAGAATAAAGTAGAATAAAGAAAACATTAAGAAATGATGTTTAAAAATAGTTTTCTCTTTTTTTTATTATAAAGAAACGTCAACATAAAGTGTACTAATCGATTTGTACCTCATTTAATATCCAAGGCTTCTATATTGTTTATAAATTGTGTATTTTTTGTTAAGATTGATTAAATTATGAATCAGTGATATTTGAATAACTCGTTAAAATATATACTGGCCTTAGTATGAAATCTTGATTGGTAAAATAATGGAAGGAATGGCCTATAATAGATTATTCTTAATAAAATCATCCGACTACGAAAACATAGAACCTCTAGAAGCCATCTAGTCATATAAGTTCCATGAAAGTTCTTACAGTGAAATTGATCGTTGAATGATTTAATTTTATAGAACCATTTCATCAAGTAAAAATTCAAAAATTACCAGTTATTAATTGAGGAAACAATCTTCACTGAAAGCCTTTTTAAATAAACAATTCAAATAAGAAAAAGAGAAATCAGCGAAGAGAATTTTTTCTTTTCGACGAAATCATTTACTTAAGCTGTACATTCGTATATATAGTTATATGGAAAATATATGTCTATAGAAGGATAGAAAGGAATGTATCACAAGTCCAAATTAATGATATATACTTGAAAATGTGGTGATAAATCCAGCATAAGTCTCGCTCAGTAGTCTCATAATTCCGTAAGGATCGATCGTGCACAGAACAAATCAACAATCAGTTGAGTGGAACTCGTCACTATACATCAACTTCATTGACTATGAGAAGGCGCTTGACAGTGTAGATAGGAGAACATTATGGGAACTTTTTGGACACTATGGAGTTTCCTTGGAGATTGTCAACATTATCCGGAACTCATACAACGAACTACAGTGCGAGGTCGTGAATGGAGGACAGCTGGCAGATAGATTCCAAGTAAAGACCGGAGGGAGAAAGGCTGTATACTCTCCCCTTTCCTTTTTCTTTTAGTGGTTGATTGAATTAGAAAGACCTCGATATCTGAGGGAAAACACGGCATACAACGGACAGCTCAGAACCAATTAGACGATTCGGACTTCGTAGATGTCCTAGCCCTTCTGTCGCATAAATACGAACAAATACAGATGAAGACAACTCGCGTATCAGCAGTCTCTGTATAAGTAGGCCTCAACATACACAAGGGGAAAATCAAGGTCCTCAAATACAACATGGACAACAGCAATCCAACCACACTTGATTGAGAAACCCTTGGAGATGTAGAATCCTTCACGTACCTGGGAAGCATCATCGATGATCAAAGAGGATCCAATGTAGACGTTAAGGCGAGGATTGGCAAAGCAAGGGCCGTATTCCTACAATTCAAGAACATGTGGAAGTCAAAACAACTGTCAACCAATATCAAAGTGAGAATCATCAATACGAAAGTCAACACAGTTCTACTGTACAGAGCTGAAACTTGGAGAACTACAACAACCATCATCAAGAAGGTACAAGTATTTATAAATAATTGTCTTCGCAAGATACTCAACATCCATTGGCCGAATACCATCAGCAAAGACCTAATGTGGGAGGGAGCAAACCAGCTGCCAGCTGAAGACGAAATTCGGAAAAGACGATGGAAATGGATAGGAAATATATTATGTAAGTCACTAGACTGCATCACGAGGCAAGCCCCAACTTGGAATCCTGACGCGAAGCGAAAAGAGGAAGGCCAAAGAATACATTATGTCAGGAAATAGAAGCAGATATGAAAATGATAACAACTGGAAGCAAATGGAAAGAATTTCCCAGGACAGAGTTGAATGGAGAATGCTTGTGAGGAGGTTATGCTCCTTCACGAGGAGTAATAGGTGTAAGTAAGTAAGTAGTCTCATCGATCACTGATAACCAACATACAATGTGTTGTTTATCGGTTAATGTGACGTACATCATTAAAAGTTTAAACGTCGTCACATTATCTTTCACTGTTATCATTATCAATAAGTCCTACTTCAGATAAAGATCAATTAAGTCAGTTCTTCTCCTACATGGATCATCAAGCATCATCTACTATATCCAACAACAAAAAGTACAACATGAATATTCCGGTTAAAGTAGCTCATCTACATATGTGTCTAAGTAAAATAGTCAAAATTATTATATACATCAAGCTCTTATTCAACTCTAAGCATGGATTTTAGAATACTGATGACTGAATTGTTTAACTGATAAGTTTAGTTCATATTTAAAATGTGAAACATTTTTCTCATTTAAAAACATACTACCACCGTCTAAAAGTCAGTCATGATTAGACATAAGATTATTCTTTATAAAGATGTCTAACTATTATTAAAAACTAAGATACAAATACAACATAATATAACTCAAGTCAAACTATAGTCATACTATTTTAATTAAGATCTCAGTATGAGAAATATGAAAACAATGAAGAAAACATAATTGAATAAAGCAAATTAAATGAACAACTGTATAATTTATTTTAATTAAAAAACAACAACATCCAAATTGAATCGTTAAGATCATGATTCCATTGAAGCCAGATCATCATGAAAGACTTGGAAAGTACTTAATTGAATATAAAATAAAACAATATTTTGTAATATATTAAGCATAAAAAAACTGTATATTCATCATGTGAATGAACTACATTGAAAGGTAATATTCATAGTTTAGAATTGGATGACATTCTTGATTGTTAAAGATTGACAGACAAATAAATTTTTATTTGATCTTATTTACATTGATAACAATAGTAATGATAAAGATTTATCAATTTAGTAATGAAAATAAAGAAAAAAAGTTAATTTGTGTGATCTGAGAGAATGCGATTGGTTTAATGGAAACAATTATTATTATAACCAATTGTACCAGTGATTGTTTTACTGTACTTGTTTGTTTAACTGTACTAAAAACATCCATTATCCTTCCGTTTATTGTGATCTTGTACGCTCTTACATTCATCCACTGATTCCACTTGTATTTCTTTGGCATGATCTCGGTATTCTTTCGATACCACGAGATCGCCAACCTGCAACCGCCTTCTGATTTCTTGTACGTAACCTCCTTGTAGTGGTGTTCATAGTCAAACGTGACTCGACGCCACACTACAGTGTGATCAAAGATAATTAAACTAATTGATCATTTTGACTTTTTAAATTATATTAATGAACGTATTTAAGTTATAATTAGACATTGTAACTTGTTTGTATTCGACAATGAAAAGTTAGAGATAACTGATAAAATGTCATTCTTAACTCAGACTTTAATCATTCCAAATTTTTGGCAAGTTTTATCTACAACACTGTTGGATGATAGTTCAGTAATCTAGAGGTTAAGCGCTCGCGCTTGAGACTGACTGGTCCTGGGTTCGGATCTCAAGAGGTGTGGTCGTGGATTCGCACTGCTGAGGAGTCCCATACTAGTATAGAATCGGTTGGTATGTTAAGCCCATATAACTTCGGACGGGTTAATCTACTCATTCTACTTGAATCACACTTTGACCATGTTAATTATTCTCTTATCAGCCTTGACTGTTCTTATATAAGCATATGTGTGTGTACACTTCTTATCCTTTTCATCACATGTCTATAGCTCATTTTTGTGTGACTATATTGATTGACGCTTGGTTAATCGGAGTTGCCTCACATGCCACTGCGCGTCGTGTCGCTCTCTCTTCTTCACTTCCTTCGCTACGTATCTCTGACTATCTGTTTCTATCAACGATTGTACAAAATACATGTATTAAGGAATCCATTCTCGTATATAACTTACTTAATCCTGTTACTCACTAACGCGATTTAAGTCAATAAATATATACGAGGAATGACGATATGTATATCTCAATAGCAATCAGAAACAATCTCACTGGAGTCAGATAGCAGGCCACTAAACTAGGATGAAACGACTACCCAATGCTTCCAGGTTTTCCGTGATGGTTTAGCTCAAGGGACTCACTAATTCAACTATTAAATTTATGAATGTGTTGATAACATAAAAAATCGAAACAGATTTGGCTAGTGTTAATCATTAATACAATAAATGGTATGTACAATTTGATTAATGGCATTGCCTAATGAAGGTATTACTTGTCCAAATATGACAGTATTCACATGTTAAAACTA